ATAGGAATCTCAAGATATTTTTCAAGATTATCAGTGAGAGAAATTCCAAGATTTTCACTAATTTGCAAAGCTCTGTTAAAATTGACATTTCTAAAGCAGAAAAGTTTGGATTTGCTTGTGTTGATTTTTTGACCGGATGCATTACAGAAATCAGAAAGACATTGAACAATGATTTGCATTTGAGAAAGAGATAGTTATGCAAAAAGTAACAAATCGTCAGCAAAAAATAAGTGAGAGATAGGAGGCTCATTAGGTGTTAGTTTAATAGGTTTTTATTCATTCTTATTGATACTACTAATAATGCAGTGACTCAAACATTCAATACAAAGGACAAAAAGATAAGGAGAAAGAGGATGCCCCTGACGAATGCCACGTGAAGGAGTAAATTCTTTTGTTGGTTTGCCATTCCAAAGAACTTTCATACGAGTGATAGAGATAGCAGCAAGAATTAATTTCCTGAAGTGATTGTTTATCTCAATGGAGATAAGAGTATCGTCAATGAAATTCCATGATAGTCTATCAAAAGCTTTTTCAAGATCCACCTTAAGGGCCATAAAACCTTTTGTTCTTATTTTTTTCCTCACAGAATAAATGACTTCTTGAGCAATAATAATATTATCACTACTCTGCCGTCCCTAAATGAAACTACTTTGGTAATCACTAATTAAGTGGTTCATGCAAGCATGTAATCTTATGGATAGAATTTTGGTGATTATTTTATAGCTCACGTTGTAGAGAGAGATAGGTTGGAAGTCTTTCATACAAGTTAAGTAATCAATCTTAGGGATCAAGGTAATGAAAGTGTCGTTAATTTCCTTTATAGAATTTGGTTCTCTAAAAATCTTTTTGACTAGATTGAATATGCTGTCTTTAAGATCCTACCAATAAGAGTGAATGAATCCTGCATTAATGCCATCAGGTCCAGGAAAACAACAAGGAAATTGTATTAATCAGTAAACTGTATAACAGTCAAGGAAAACAACAAGGAAGCAAAGAAACAAAACTAAGAGGGATTACATGTAAGTATTAAGAGTGCAAAAAGCCCTAAGGGTATGGTTGACTATTAACATAACATGCAGTTAAAAATGATCCTTATTAATGATTTCAACAGCAAAAACCTTCTGTTACAAGTAGTGGCAGAGTCGCATGCTGTAACAGCCCTCTGGGTCACCACTACCTCTCCCGGATCTTTTCCCAGCGCTGGACAACACACATGTCACCACATGATTGCCGGCTTTCCCACTGGTGGTACAGTGGTTATTCTTCACCCCACCCTCACGGGAGTCTTTTGGAACCTCCCCAGACTCGAACCTGGGGAGGTTCCTGGGGAGGTTCCAAAAGACCCCCGTGAGGGTGAGGAATAACCACTGTAACACCAGTGGGAAAGCCGATAATCATGTGGTGACATGTGTGTTATCCAACGCTTGGAAAAAGACCCTGGAGAGGCAGTGGTGACTGTTGAGGGTATGCCCCCTCACTTGGGAAAAATAGCATATATTAGGTATATATTTTCATATTTTACAATTGGCTCCCTCTCTTTTTCATACTTTGCACTCTTATTTTAATATTTCAAACTTTGAACCCATTTCAATGCTACATTTAGCCCAAATCTAAAATTTAATTTTTTAACTTAGCCTAATGAATATTAGCCTATAATTTCACCATAATTAAATGTCAATATTATTTATTAATCCTTTAAAAAATAGAAAAAAAAATAATTTGACTAAACTAGGCTCTCATTATCCTCGTCCTAAGAATATTAGCTAGGAAAAAAAGGAAACAAAGAATGAAGATTTAGGAATCAAGAGTAAACTTGTTGAATGCATTTTAATAACTCACTACATCTGCAAATTTGTAACTGAAAGTTGAATTTAAAAACAAAGACAGAGAAAAAAAGAAAGAAATTTAATAGATTTTGAAAAGACAAAAATATTTTTATTATACTAAGATCCTGGCTTCACCCCCTGACTCAAGATCCTAGCTCCACTATTGGTTGCAAGCTTTTAAAAGTTTCCAAGGTAAAATACTTATGCCCACTTTTCAGGATATATGGAGATGATATGAAGAACTGATCAAGGATTTGCTTGGTCAATTCGACCAGGTGTGGTATCACTAAAAAGGATAAGATTGTTGGCAAAGAAGAGATGTGAGAGAGGTATTTCCTGCCTCCCCATCTTATTAGTACACCAATTCCTTTTCCTAACTTTCGTTGTTGCTTGAGATAAGCGTTCCATGCATAACACAAAATTGTAAGGTGATAGGGGTTCCTCCTAATACCCCTACTTGGAGAGAAGGAGGAAGACGGCTTCCCGTTCTAGATTACCTATGTTGAAGGTGTAGTAATAATACAAGCCATGACAAACTTGACTAAAGCCTCTGGCAGACTAACATCATGAAGGGTGTCTTCAATGAAATGCCGTCTTAGCTTGTCAAAAGATTTTTAATTCTAAATGTATCTTGATTGCCATCTAGCACACTTAGATCTCTCTTTTCCTCATAGAGTACATCACTTCCTAAGCTATAATAATGTTATCAATAATGCTTCTACCCCCTATGAAATTGTTTTGATTGGGAAGGATAATTTCTAGCATAATGGTGCTAAGATGGTTGGCAATCACCTTTGTTGCAACTTTATAAACCATAAAACACACACTAATTGGGCAAAATTCCAGAATGTATTGTGATATGGTGACTTTTGGAATTAAGGTAATGAAGGTATGGTTTAAAGAGGGGTCAAGTGGGTGATCATGCTAAAGATTAAGACCAAATTGAAAGAGACTACTCCTTACTAGCTCCTATTAGGTTTGGGAGAACATATCTTCCAATCTATCAATTCCAAGGGCCTTCAACAGCTTCATATGAAATAAGGCTTGCTTAATCTCATCGAAAGAGGCCACTCTATTTAGAAGAGTAAAGAAGTCCTCATTTATAGTTGGGAAAGAATACCCAAAGAAATAGTCATATATAATAATAAGGATAAATGAGCAAATTATCTTGTAAACTGTAGGTCTAGTAGTACCATACATCTTGAACTTATGTATTGTGCAAATTGTTCCTTTAACTTTTGAAAACAGTGCAATCTAGCCCTTGTTTTAATAAAAATTAACTTCAACCATTAGTTGACCAAAAAATAGCATAAAAGAACATCAAAAATTACATAAAGCTTTATTTTTTTTGGATGCTTTATTGCAATTTTTGGTCATTTTCTGTATTTTTGGGTGATTTTCTGTAATTTATTGTCTTTTCTTGTTTTTTTTGTCAACTAATTATCAAAATTAACTTTTGTTAACTGTAGGGATTAGATTGCATCATTTTTAAAAATTAAGGGAATAATTTGCATAATAAATAAGTTCAAGCCTTCAGGATTTATGGTGTTACTGCACCTAAAGTTTAATGAACAATTTGCTTGTTTACCCTAAGAATAATACTTAAAAATATTAAAGATAACACCAAAAATTTTATCTAATACAAGTCTCTAACATTGTAATTTGTAAAGGTCTAAAATTTTAAAGTGCTAAAAATAAAAGGGAGAATTTCAATTAAATTCCTCTGTAGAGGCTTAATTTTAGGTGGATCCAATTTTTTTTTTGAAATTTTAGTTCAATTCAGGGGAGAAAAGTCAAAACAATTTCGCCAATAAAAAGATCAAAGTACCCTTCATTTGTTATACATAATCACTAATTGTTAATTTTCTTACTTCACTTGTTAATTTACGAATATGAGTTGCAAATTATACGAGTTGACATGTGAAAAATTATATAAAACTTAACATCAATTTTTTAATTATAAGCAGCAATATCAATTGTTAAATTATAAATTTTATTTGTTAATTTACTAACATTAGTTATAAATTATTAATAGGTCTTGTAATTTACAAACATAAATTATAAATTACTAACGAGTCTTGTAATTTACAACTGATATTAGTAAATTAATAAGTAAAGTTAGCAAATTAATAATTAATGTTACTGATTGTCTGAAAAATGTATGTAATTTGTAAGTAATATTAATAAATTAATAAGTATAGTAAGAAAATTAATAACTAGTGATTATGTGTAATAAGTAAAAGGTATTTTAGTTATTTTATTGACAAAAAATTTTTTTTGTCGTGAACTGATATGAAATTTTAAAATTTTTTTAAAATCACTTGAAATTAAGTCTTTATGGAGGAACTGAACTGAAATTCTGTCAAAAAAATAAAATGGACAGATATTATGCAACTACAAAAGTACCGGTAAACTCCCTGGCAAAGACCATTCTCGAGTTTTCCCGGGACGCGGCAGGGAGCCCATTTTTGTAATTTTGAAATTTCACAAAATGAATATCAACTTGTCTTGACCGGGGAAAAAAGTTGGTCCAATTTTTTTTTTATCCAAATCGATATAATCAATGCCAGTGCTTCCGGTCCCGAGTAACGTCTTCCGCATGTGGAATCTTGTCTACAGCGCCCACAACTGGAAATGAGATAATACAGCTTAGCTTAATGCATGGATTTTCTCATCCCCGAAACATCCAAGAATTATTCAGGCCAAGAAAACCTAAGAATTATTTTAAAAACTATGAATATTATGATGGACTTTCTTAATTCTAAAAAAATAAATTAGACTAGATATTGAAATCATGATTTGAGAATTGGATCCTTGCGAGGGATTTTCCCAACTTTTAGTCTTTAGATGATCAATTCGTTCAGAGACAGCCGAGAGCATTACTATGTAGTCACTACGCCATCTGTCATCTACGAGTGTCACCCAATTTTACCGCCTGGCTCCAAAATAAATAATAGTAGTAATAAATAATAATTAATAATTGAGAGTTTTTCATTTCTGCATCCTTTGAATTAATTCTGACACACAACGCGCACACACTTCCCTCTACCTAAATCCGTGTGTGTATGTGTTTTTTTCTGTGCAGTTTCTCTCTCCTCCACTCTGGCCGTCCTTCACGCGCATACCTGTCGCTTCGTCGTGGGTAACCACTATATATATACCCCACCCTCCATTGCTCTCTTTGCAGATGCAGCGAAGTGAGTCGCATTTTTTAATAATTTCTTCTGCATCTGTGTGCCAAGTTGTTCCTTTCTTTCTCCCCAATCAATCCTATTCTCTTCCCCCTTTTTCCTCGTCTCTTTCTTTTGAACGCCCAGAATCAATCATCCTACCTTATCAAGAGCAGAGAAAAGAAGCACAAGGAGTTATCTTCGTCTTCTTATTTTTACTTGTTATTCTTTTTTTGGTTTTTCCTCCTTACCTTTCAATCTGGGGAAGCAAATGCCGTCATTAGAGGATGATCTGTTTCCTTCTACGCCGGGCAAGTTCAAGATCGAGAGAGCTCACACCATGAATCGTCAGATGTATCGATGTTTTGCCTCCACCAGCACCATGTTCTTGTGGGCCCTCTTCCTCATTGCCTTGACGGCTTCCTATTTGAGCTTCCAGGGTTTCGTCGATTCCGGCAGCCGGTACTTGTCGGCGTCTTGGGGAGGCATCCAGTGGGAGAAGCAGGTCCGCAACTCAGCTCAGATCCACCGCAGCGGAGGCATGTCAGTGCTCGTCACCGGAGCCGCCGGTTTCGTTGGCACCCACGTTTCCCTTGCCCTGAAGCGACGAGGAGACGGTCTAGTAGGCATCGACAACTTCAATAACTACTACGATCCATCGTTGAAGAAAGCTCGCAAATCGCTTCTAAATAGCCATGGCGTCTTCATCGTCGAAGGGGACATTAATGACGCCAAGCTTCTGGCTAAGCTTTTCGACACCGTCGCCTTCACGCACGTAATGCACTTGGCGGCTCAAGCCGGTGTTAGGTACGCCATGGAGAATCCACACTCCTATGTTCACAGCAACATCGCTGGCCTCGTCACGCTCCTTGAGGCTTGCAAATCGGCGAATCCTCAGCCGGCGGTTGTCTGGGCCTCCTCGAGCTCCGTTTATGGCCTAAACGAGAAGGTGCCATTCTCGGAATCAGATCGGACTGACCAACCGGCGAGCCTCTACGCTGCCACCAAGAAAGCCGGTGAAGAAATCACTCACACCTACAACCACATCTACGGTTTATCCATCACCGGGTTGAGATTCTTCACTGTTTACGGACCCTGGGGTAGACCCGATATGGCTTACTTCTCGTTCACCAGGAACATCCTCCAAGGCAAACCAATCACGATATATCGCGGAAAAAATCGGGTCGACCTGGCCCGAGATTTTACTTACATCGACGATATAGTGAAAGGTTGCGTCGGATCGCTGGACACTGCAGGGAAGAGCACTGGATCGGGCGGCAAGAAGCGTGGACCCGCACCGTACCGAATCTTCAACCTTGGGAACACATCGCCGGTGACTGTACCAACATTGGTGAGTATCCTTGAGAGTCACTTGAAGGTGAAGGCGAAGAGGAAGATCGTGGACATGCCGGGAAACGGCGACGTTCCGTTCACACACGCCAACATCAGTTCGGCCCGACGAGAACTCGGGTACAAGCCCACAACCGATTTGCAAACCGGGTTGAAAAAGTTCGTGAAGTGGTATCTTTCCTATTATGGTTACCACCACGGCAAACATGTAAATTAATTATTATAAATTTTTTCCGTAGTCTTCTAGAGATTTCTGCCATTCAAAAAGATAAGAAGGAAGGAAGAAACACTATTTGAAAAGCAAAAAAAAAAAAAAAAAGGAAGGAAAGAAAGAAAGAAAGAGAAGGAATACATTCTTTACTCAATTAACGGAGCAGCAAAAAGGAGCTGGGGCCTGCCATTAAAAAAAACAAAGAAGAAGAAGAAGCTGGTGCTCTCTCAGTTGTGAGTTCTGGTTTTTGTATTATTACATGTGAGTTTTTAAGTTTTTATTTAAGGTAATGAAAAAGCTCAAGCATGATTATTTCTCCGATACATGTCCTATATCACAGTTTCGATAGGCGCGAATGAGTGTGATGCACATCACAGTCGATGACGTTGAGGGTATATTGGTAATTTCGGGGGTGGGTGGAATTTTTTGCGGATTTATATCACGTTGAGAGGGGAGACAGCTAAGAGGAAAGTGACAACTGGTGCAATCGTGAGATACGGCTGGGTTATGGGTCCACATGGGAGTGGGCGTGTGGGCTTTAGCCGCTGGATTTGGGTTGGTATCAGACGAGCGGTCAGATCCAGCTGTAAAGTCTCTGTACCTAATAAAGACCGGGGGAAAAAAAGCGCCGACAAAAACAACGAGAAAAGAAAGTTGTGGGGCTTTTGGGTTGTAATCGAGTTAAAAAATGGCAAGGGTTTGAGGCAAAGTTATTACACTCACGAGTTTATAAGTAAATTTGTGGTAAAAATATAAATTTATATTATTAACAAATAATTATTAACATATAATTATAATTTAATTTAAATATATTAAAAATATAAATTATTGAAATTAAATCTATCTAACATTGATAAATTATTATATGCAAGAGATAAAAATTTTAAATTGGGAAAACTTATTCTTGGTAGTTTTTGCTTTCCTTTTTTATTAATATTAGTTTTTACATTTTAATTTTTCTTTGTACTAGTTTTTATAGCTTTTAAGAATCGAATTTTTCGTAGCATATATTCAACTTGCTCAATTTAAAAAAATAAATAAAAATTAATGAGTTTAATAAGTTTAATTAAACTTGAGTATATGAATTAGTTGACACAATTTTAAAAATTAAAAAATGTAAAAAATGGTAAACTTGGAGGTAAGTTCGTGATTTTAACAGAGCTTATATTTAATCTGAATTTATGAGTGAATTGACATAATTTTTTAAGTTGAAAACGTTAAAACGTTAAATTCATAGAATTAACTCGAGAGTTTGACAACTACAATTTGAGGTGCACTTTCTTTTTGAAAAAAAAAAATTACACAAGTATATTTTTATTGCAGATATTTTTTTTCAAGATACAATCAGATATTAAATATAAAAATAGAGGTAAAATTCTATGAAATTCTTGTTATTAATAGGCATTATATATTTAAGGTATTCATTTTTAATTAAATCAAGAGAAGTGTATTATTTAGAGATTATCTATTTCATGAAAAATTCTCATTGTTAATATTATTAACACATTTAAATTCACATATTTTAATTTAATTAAATAAAAATATATTAAATATATAAGATTAAGTGCATAAGTGCTATCCTCTTTCTTTCCATGGTAACATTTGGAAGATTTTTATTTTTCCTTTTTCACAATCCATTCATATAATATTAGTACCTATGAAGCACGCAAGTTATTTTCACAAGGGGCAGCCAGAATCTAACACTTGTGGAAATAACTTGCATATATAGGATGGGAATGCTTTAGGTAGTATTTTCAATGATGAATCTCTAAAATGCTAAACTAGTTTAAAGCCTTTTTTTTGTGTGGTTAAAACTTAATTTGATATTATGGAATCTTAATGGCAGATATCAATGTAAATTTCTAAAGGAAAATTATAAGGAGGGTTTTTTTTCGAATTTGTGGGAGAGTGGTCTCTCTCTCTTTTTTACTCTTTTTTCTTCCTCTAGTTGATCTTGACTATCTATTAATTCTATAATTCAAATTTTTTTTAATAAAATAATATGAATGGGCAAGATCGAAAAAGTGCAGAGAAAAATGAAAGTAAAAAAAAAAAAGAAAAGAGACCCTTTCCTTGAATTTTTGCTTTTTAATGTTTTAAAAATCAAACCGGATAATAAAAAAGATTAGTGGATTATAGATCTTATAATTCAACTAGTTCGACTGGTGGTTAAATCAGTGATATAATAATTAAATAAAAAATAATATATATATATATATATATATATTTTTAAAAAAATGTTAAAATGGTTTAACTGCTTCTGGTTCTCGAGTTTTTGCTTTGAATTTTTAAGAACCATTTGAGTCAAAACAGGTGAATTTGAATCAACTGTCCAAATGGTAAAGGGAAACTATGTTCTCTTTTGGGTGAGAGTTTGATTGGGCCAATTGTCCAGGTCTTAAAACAGTGGTTCTCCCTTTTGATGGTACGATGCTTTAGTGGTAAATGTACGAAAAGTGAATATATGGGCCTGGGCTTTCGAGTGGGGCCTATCGTTTTGTGATTGTAGTTACGTACGGTCTTGTACTTCGTCGAGACGTTACTCTTGAAAAGTAATTAATTAATCATCTCATCTCAGATTAAATTTTTTATTGTAAAAATATTTGTAAGAAATTATGATGTATGATTTTAAGCTTAATTAGCTAATTTTTTTTCAATCTTGAAATCGTTCAAAAGGATTTTAAAACTTTAAAATCGTTTGGTTGCAAAAATATCTGCGGAAATTTCAAGTACTTTTTCTTTTATACAGAAATTTCATGTGCCTTTCTTCAATGGAAAATATAAAGGTTAAACGAAAAGAGAATTTTATTTTGATATGAATAAAATAACATAAAATTATACATATTTTATTCTCAAATTACATGTTACCCCATTCCCTTCTTACCAAATAGGGAGTAATACATTTTTTTAAAAAAATTATAACGCTTTTAAAAATGCCCTCATCTCGCCGGTTAAAAAAAAAAAAAATTGCCCTTATCTCCTCTGCTCTTACTTTAATGATGGTTTTTTCCATTTCTCTTTTTTCCTCCCAATAAATTATTCTACAAATCAAATGATAATTTTGAAAAGTTGTAAAAGAAAAAAACATTGGCATTTAATTAATTTTAATAATTTTTTAATCTCATGAATGTAGTTAACTAAATGTGCTACAGAGAGTATTCAAAGTTTTTGTTAACTGTAGTAAATGATGTTGGATTATTGGAATGATTTATTTTTTGTGGGTTAAAAAACGGGTAAATGAGTTGGCCTTGAGAATTTACTAAAGCCAATATATATTTTCAAATTCAAAAAATATTTACAAAAATAATTATAAATTATTTATAAAAAATATTTTTATTAATAATAGCATGGGCAAAGTTAACAAATTTTATTAAGAGGGCCAAAATGACAAAGCATATATGTTAGTCAAAGGAAAATTAAATATATATATATATATATATATGATTAATATTAGATACATATTTTAACATATATATATTTTTATTCAATTTTACAAATATATAACAAAAATAAATATGTACCTTTATTTTTTTAAGTTTTAGTTAGATTTTTTATCACATAAGAATAATTAATTATTATATCTATGATAAATTTTCAGTAATTTCCTTCTTAATATAAACTATTACTAAATCAGTGAACATTTTATTTTTTCCATGAGCATTGAATAATTTAAACACATAATTGAGAATCAAATTTTTGTTAAATCTGTGAAGCTCTTACTTACATTTTAAATTTACTGTTTAATTATTTCAATTGTCACTAATTGAGTAAATAAATATATCAACAAAGTAATGATACTTAGTTGTCACTAATTTTTTTTTTAGAAGAACATATTTTATCCACAATGTCTTAAATTTTGGATAAATGATTTTACAATAGATATTAAGCACATATTATTCAATATCTCTTGAAATTTTTGTTGAAATACTTGACAAAGTTTATTTGTTATAATTCTTATAATTTATTTAATCAAATACTTTCTTCGTTCAAAATATAAAGCATTTTTAACTAAATCTTACTCGCAATAAAGTAGTTACTTACTTTCAAACAAACTCTATCTTTTTATACTTACCCCTATTAAATACCTTACGATAAATATAAATTCATCATTAATGAGGCACTGACAATGATTATACCTCAAAATATTAAAAATGTCTTATATTTTTAAATATTTAATTGCTTAAAAAATATCTTTTAATGAAAAGAGTATAAAATAAAAGAAAACAAATACCATCAATGTTTTAAAGCATTTTCTTGTTGAACATAAATAAATTTTATAACAATTATATCTTTAAGTTATTAAAGTAGTTGGACTATATATAATACATGTCTAAAAATTACTCATAGAATTGAAATGAAATTTTATTTAATATTTTAAAACTTTTATAATGTATTAATTTAAGAGTTAAAAATATATAATTTAATATTTTATAAAAAAAATTAAAAGTTAGGAAGTCTTTGACCCCCGAATAATAGGATTTGATCAAGTCATATTGTGAGTCATGTGATATGGTTTTGCTTTGTTTATTAATAACGTAATGGAGAGATCCAATGGAGGTTGAGGTTGACGTGGGTGAGTCGGACTTGGCTGGAGTCGGTGTTGTTGTCAGTAGTCATTGATTTGCGTAATAATTACGGGACTGACAGTAAGTGGGTGGGGAGACTTTGGGAACTTTAACATCCACCTTAAAAAAATATCTTCGGAATTAAAATTAAAATTAAAAATAAATATATACGACATTTATATTCACCGACACACTCTGTGGACCCATATTACAAATGCTAAGCATGTGGGCTTGCTGCTCTGCTGGCGGACATTTTTGACCACGTGGCACAAGTACCCACACAAACAAAATCAATCATCATTCCTTAAAGCCCAAGTACATTTTCATCAACCAGCATGAAACCCGTGAGGGTTAAAAAAAAAATTTAAGAAATAAGATGAAATTATTTATTTTATGTTCAAGAGCAAAGAGACAGAAATATTCAAACAACCATAGGTTCATAACATCAAATAGCCTAAAATAAAAAAAAATATGAGTGCTTATAAAATTATTTTTTAAATGTAGTTGTGATCAAACTGTTAAAAATCAATGACATTAACCATTTCACTGTGAATTAAAATTTAATGATTTGTTCATAAATGTATTGAAAAAGTAGTGTCACAAGTACTTCTACACTTTTATTTTTATTTTAAGTTACTATGTGTTCTAGCTTATCATTTCTTGAGTAGTTTTATCCATTTACCCTATATTCCCTCCGGTCCACAATATTAGGTGTATTCTAAAGGAAATTCTGGTTCACAATATAAGTCACCAA